TTATATTGCAATATAAGTTTTTTTTTCTCCTAGCATTTATAATATAAGTGCATGCCAATTAAGTCATCATAACGAATCAGTTCGAGAAAATAGAGGTTTAATATTTGAATAACCGATACTCTATGATTTTTTGTCATACTACATAACAAAAGAAAACTAAAACCGTTTGTGTCCACTCAACTCATTGGTACACGTTTACAAATGTAAAAATTTTGTATATTTCTTATTTTACATAGTTTCACGATAGTAGTATTAGTTGTTTATAATTTGTTTTTCCATCAAATATATTAAGAACTGGCCACTAGTTCTATCTTGTGAAGCTCTTTAAATGTCCTTTGGCCAGTATACAGTGCTTCAAGCTATAACATTCCTTGTTGTAAAACTTTGTAGAAACAGATCTTTGAAACTATTCGTCAATGCATTTTCAGAATGTATTGCGCAACAATGCGAAAGTAAGGTTCATTCGAGGGATTAAAATTAATTGCTTTATTTACCATAGCTTGTGGCTCTGTATTCAGATATGACAATTTTTGTAATTGTTTGTTACTATGTGTCGTAGTATTGAGTACATTTGATTAATTTCAATAATATATGACTTCCATAAAAGAAAATCCAGACGAAAAATAAATTTGTAATTAAGATATGCGTATTGTAAGAATAAATCGTATTTCTATAAGTTCTAAATCTGGTGTCCTCGATTACTCTGTGATCCATTTAAGAAGCAGTAATTAAGCACATGGCGCCGAATAATCGTTCTGAAATATGAAAATGATCTCTTTGGATTTGATATGTCGAAGAACCGTTTATGCAAGATATAAGATTGTCTTCTTAGAATTTTCATCTATTAGATAGACTTTATGATGCAGTGTGAAATGAACACGTACTAGATTTAATCGGTATTTAAGCAACAAGTAAATTTTAATAAACATATTTTAAAATATGTATTTAAAATATTATTTGATTTTGAAATAATTCACTGGAAGAATTGTGTACTTTAAGGTATATTATATTTTTAACGATACCTTCTGTTTTACAATTGCAATGTTTGTATATGTATCTTTTAAACTGTTATATACGTTACACATTCCACGATGTGTTCGCAAGACAACTTTCTCCGACGGTACAAAAATTTAATCGAGTATCAGTGTCCAAGAAAATAGACGGAAAATCTGTGCTTGTATCAGTTCTCTCAACTTGAAGACTGAATTTCTGAATACCCTGGAAAGTATTTAAATGTGTAACATATGATCAACTATGTCATATAACAGTACAAGTAATCATCGTTTACACGTATATGTATATGTATATATATATTTTTCGTATCACAAATGTTTGTCTTATTCATGAAACTCTGAAAAAATACTTCTATAACTCTACGAGCAAACGAATCATGTTTTGATTTTGGGAAGAAGGACATCTTTGTTAAAGATTGTGTTGTTGTTCGTTTTTACAAAAAGTATCTTCAAAGAAATACTTCGTATATAATTTTATATTAACACGTTCGTATTTCGATGTTATAACTTAAAGAAGAGACATTACTTTAAAAGCGTATTATTCCTTAATAGTTAAGTAAATGATAAGTTGTGCAACACCGGTAGATATTACGAAACTTTAAGGAATAAAGGTATGAAACGGTAATTGTTAAAAATTCATCGGATACGTTCAGTATTAACGGTCACATGTATTGAGAAGTATTTTTACATTGAAATCTAGTATGCATAATGTATAAAAATATTTGAAGTTACCATTTTTAGAGTCATCTTTATCCAAGCGATGAAGAGCCGTACGATCGGAGAGATGAAAATTATACCAGTTCAGAAGAGAACGAGTCATATTATTGTGAGTTATGCGATAGAGACTTTTCATCGGAAGACGGTCTTCTTAAACATAAAAATGAACATAAAGTTTGCGGTATCGATGGGTGTACTTTTTCTGCTCATCCGTTACTTGTTGAGAAACACATTACCATGCAGCACAATAGCGGTTTATATCATAGGCTAAAAAATGTGTCCAGTCCGGAAGACATTGAGAAATGGATAATAGAAAGAAAAAAGTAAGTTTATGATTAATAAGAGATACACGTGAAGTAGAAACTCCTGCGAATGTAATTCTCAATTGATATTACAGGAGATACCCTACAAAAGCTAATGTCGAATTACGGAAAGCAGAAGAAATGGAAAAGATAGAAAGAGGAGAAGTAATTAAACGAAAGGTAGATGTTGCCAAGGGAAGAAGAAATAAATCGTCACGATTCCAAAATAGAAAGCGAATGACATCAAAACCACCTATACAAAAAGTCTCTGATAATGTACAAGAGCAGCAGTTATTGTATAGAGGTTTAAAAGAATTTCCCGGAACGTGTAAGCATTTAATCATTTCGTTTTGTAGTTAAGTTTCTGAACTGTGTTTTTATACAGATGTACATTTCAGTAAGTTTACGCGATGCAGAGTTGCAAGAAGAAGATGAAACTGATGACAAAACGGTGAGCAATGAGTGCGAGGAAAGTGTTAATTTTATTTCCGATGAAGAAGAAGTACCAGTTCCCTTAATTGCGCCATGCTTGCCTACTTTGGTAGCGAATTATGGAAGTGGATCTGAAGAAAGTAAGTATAAATATTTATCAATACTTTTTTCTTTTACAGATTAGTGATGTTTCGCCGTGTATACAAATAATGCTAATTTTAGGTGACGCGCCTGAAGAAATACCAATTAAAAGAGTAAAAGTAGAAAATGACATTATGGAAAGAAATGATGCGAAAAAAGAGGAGGCAAATAGTAAAAATGAAGTTGTTACTACCACACATGCAAATACAGATGCGCAACAATGTTCAAACTTACGGTCCCAAGTAAAGTCAACGTGTGAAAACGTAACAACTTCAAAGTATAAAAATAAACAGAGTAATAAGTTGAATCAGCATTTAAAGGTTGAAGAACAGAAAAAAGTTGTCAAAAGAAAACAACCGTACACTTCGCAGTTATTAGAAAGATTGCTTTCGCGGTCTATACAACATGAAAGGAATTTAATTTGCCAGTGTATAAAGTATATAATAGATAATAATTTCTTTGATTAACGATAAATTAATATAGCGACACTATACATCTTGGTGTTGTGGTTATTGAAATACCTCGCTTTTGTATTATTTGTTAATTCAAAAGAAAATAAATACTTCAAGGTATAATAATCGATTCATTATTTATTCATTTAATTGTATTTAAAATATTTTACATCGGTCAAGTTTTAAAGGAATGCCTCTTTCTTTTTTTGGATTGCTTCTTTTGAAGTTCTAAGGCACTGTCATCTTCTGATATTTTTTTCTCGCTACTTTTTATCGATATAAGATTTTTACTTTTCTTCCCGGAAAGTGCGTCCTTCCATTCTCCATCTGAACCCTTAATTGCATATTGTTCTAAATTTTCTCTTTTCAACTTCTCCAGTTCAGCTTTTTGCTTTACTTTCAATTCCTGAAAGAAATAATAGGATATGTTGAATAGAATAATCATTTCACAAATGTATTTAAAAACTATTAAGTATAAAAATGTGTCTGACCTTGGCTGCAGTTTCTAATTCATCATGTAAACTCTTCCCATTAACAGGGTTAAGTTGTACATTTTGATTATCGAATTCTTTTTTCATTATTGCATTTTCAATATAAGTCTCTGCTATTCCGTTCAAATATTGTACAGATTTACGTATAATTCGATTGAACAGAGCAAGTAATTGCGAAGGTGGTAGATCCAATTCTTCTGCTAATTTATCAACAGTTTTGTGTTGCAAACCCAATCCTAATAGTATAGCCTGAAAGTAAGAACATTATTTTTATAATGCATGTAGCATAAGGTTTAAATTCATGCTACACTACTAAAAAATAATATTACTGATTGCACAGCTGATAAATGAGTGTCACCCATCATATTCAAAAAATATAAGCGTGCTAAGGGTGGTAATAGATCCATTATTAAATGGTAATCTGCCATGTTGTTACTATACATTGCTAAACGTTTTAAATCATAAGATGTAAAATATACATCTAACGTGTCTTTCTTCAAACCTGCGAACACAGAAAGTAATTATGTTTGAAGAACAACATAACTATTCACAGTAGAAAGAAATGTACCGATAAAAATATACTGACTAGTAACTTCTGGTGTAATTGTTTTGTTCATCAGTATGCTCAGTGCCAATGAAGATGGATATGCATTAAATGAGAAAGATAATAACGTTATAAATCGTCGTCGAAAATCATTCCAATAATCTTGCAACCACCTACTATCTTCTTGTTGTTGTTCGAAATTAAGTTTATATAACATTATACAAGAGTGTTCACCCGTTATATCATTCGCAGTTTGTCTAAAAAGAAATTGAAACAGAATTGTACGTTTCCATTTTTTGTGCGGAATATTAACTTTTCAATGTGTAAGGATTTAATGTATATTAATTCGAACCTTAAATAAGTAGGCACGAAGCCAGCCCGTTTCCAAAATTTCAACAGCTGTTCAGTAATACCAAAAGATACACCTAAATAATCTAAATTCTCTGGACGTCTTTCACTTAATTTTAGAAGCAATGGAGGTAAAGAGGATCGAGGTTCTGAAAAAAAATGAACTTGATACGATACCGATGAGGTACATCAAAAATTGATTTTTCGCGTGTAGTACGATGAATTTATTTACCGATCCTTTCTTCGAGTAAATTAACCTCTTCGTCTTGTACTTTAGATATTTCTGTGATCGGCGTTTCTACTGATGTTTCGTCGACGCTAAGTACTTTCATTTCATAGTACTGCTTCAATAATTCTAATGCACGACTACCATATCCCATCTACAGGAAAAATTTAAAATTAAATTGCCTGAACATGTTAAACGATTAAAATATGACAGTGACAATTTTAAGTTAATTTACCCCGTGATAATCAGGATGTGTTGCGATGCGAACAATACGTGAACCCGCTAATGCTGGAAAATCTTGATCTTGATACTGTTGCGCCATAGTCCATGGTATAAGATCACCAGCTGCTCTGCGTCCACGTGTGAGGCCATCCTTTATAGTATTTTTACTCACTTCACCTTCTAAGCAAATCTATGTATTACAAAAATATTAGAACTGCAACAAGTTCTCAAGTTATTTAAATAAATGCAAATACTCGTGGTTTATTACATGTTATCCGCTTACTTGGATTACTACCAATATTTCTGGTAATGTTTTTTTATTCGAGTCAACCGGCCCCAAAAGGCAAAACAGATGATGCGCTGGAGCATCGGACATCATTTGCAAGTCATTTGGACTGTTCTAAAACATTTCCTACATTTAATATTTTAAATTATATTAACAGAAATATGTACAATCGCTCTAATAATTCCTGCCGCTTGAAATTTACGATTGTTGAAATCTTGAAATTGTTCAATTATTTATAATAAGAATCGGCGGATTTGAATGTAATAGTGATATTTACTTTGTAATGTGAAGCGACATAAAGCGCTACCAGTCTTTGCAAAAATAGTTCAGACGCTTTATGGTACGAAAATAGTGTATCCCTGGAAACAAAGGGCGCATTATAAAATTTTGTAAAAGTATTTATTTATAATTAATATAAATGAATTACCTATTTATGTAATATAATTGACACAAGTCTGGAGGTGGGCATCCAGATAATATAGTTGTATTTGTAGTAGCATTTAGGCACAATAAATCACAGAGCCATTGCTCAACAGAATCTCCAGGTTTATAACGAATAGACTCTTCGAGTGTAAGTTCATGTAACTGCCTACCGATAACAGTTTTCTCGCTTTCATGTTTATCATGTTTTTCATGTCTATTAGAACCGGCCGTCTGACTACGTAATTGTTGCAATAATTTCAGCGACAATGATCTACCTGTACCCTCATACCTGTTTAATGGGAATCATATATTATAATTGCTTCACGATAAATATAAAAATAATTGACAAATAGAAATGTCGTGTATACCCATTAATAGTTGACGCAAGAAATACTAAATAAGGGCCAAGCATAGCTTTCACGTAAGGAAGAGGTATTGCAGCAGCCTCGTCAATTACAAGTAGTTCCGCTTGATTTAATTTATGGGCATCAGTCGGATGAATGTACTGAAAAAATTATTTCTTTTTACTGTTTACTATACAGGCATTGTAATGAAAAAAAATTTTATACCTGTATTGTTTGTCTGTGATCCCGAAAGACATTTACGCGGACAGTAGCTTTATTAAATTCGGGATTTGTTGATTGTACTAGTCCATAATCAAGATGTTCTTGATATCCCAGTGCATCAAAGCCTAAAAATAACAGAAGAATTTACTAGACTGATAAGTCTTGTATACAGTGTTATAACTGAGTAGTAATTCACCTTTAAAAACAAATTCAAACAGAGTATTTAAATTCTCTGGACTTGGACTAGAAATATAGATGTTCGAGTAACCAAAAGTTATAGAACCAGCAATAGCTAAACCCAATGCTGCAGACTTTCCACGTCCTCTAGCAGCGGTTAAAGAAACAGTAGATCTTAATGTTTTTTCTGATATGCATTCAATAAATTTAAGAAGTGCTTTTGCCTAGAACAGATATTTAATTGTATCTTTCACTGAATATAAATACTTATTTATTATTTATTATATGCTACATTAAACAAACCTGATCTATTGTTTTGCAACAATTGACAAGAGAAGAAATGGGTTGTGTGTCTTTCAAACTATCTTTCAAACCATCTAACTCTGACTGTTCTTCGGAAGTAGTCAATTTTTGAGCAGGTTCAATTTTCAAATTATGTGATGACAAAGGTAATACATTCAACTGATCATCAACAACTAAACATCTTTTGCATGATGCCAGAGATAATAGAAACCTTTCATTAAAGCGACCAACAATATCCTGCAATAGATTTAAATGTTAAAGTAATAATATAAAATAATCTTTAATTAATGAAATAAATATAAATGACATACTTGATGTGCTTCTGTACGAAATCTTTGATGAACATCCATATTCATTGTATAAAGTTGTTTTAACGAATTCACAGATTGCAAAAGGAACACAATAATTCCTCCTCCTTCTATAGTTTCAATAGTACGTGCTAACAAATTTGGAGTGATTGCTTCAAAGTCCTACAAAATGAAAATCAAATAATAAATAAATATGATGAGTATACAATACAGAAGAATACAAAACTCAAAGTCTCACTTGTAGAACACACATGCCATAAGTATTTCCCAATATTTTATGGGTTTCATGGTAATAACAATAACGTATATTAGTAGATACAACAAACAACTCAAATGGATCATCCTCATTAACATCTATTTTCCCAGATTTAATTTTCTTTTGTAAAGACTTCATTCTCTTCTTTCGATGACTACTGAATCCCAATTCCTTCTTGTAACACCAAAGTACAGATGGTCTAGCCTTTATGACTGTCTTGGACAGCATATGATGTAGTAAGACAACCTGTCCAAAAGTATAATTTATAATTCTATGCATAATAACTTGATAATATTGTAGTTGACCGTTGAAATTAATGTTTGGATCTATTCGTGACAGACATAAAAATTTCATTTCAAAGATTTTGACTTACTTGATCTCTCGCTTTTTCACCAATAACGATAAACATTGTTCTGTGTCCTGTGATAACTCCATTTTCAATTAAAACACGGATACGATTATCTATTTTCTTGCGTACCATTTTTAATACGGTGGTTCTTTTTTAACCTATAATTTCAGAAACGTGTGAATCGTGTGTACACTAGCTGCGTCCATGCGGTTCTAACTGTACTGTAGCTTTTCAGAGGTAATCAAACACGTGTTATTATGGTATTTTATTAATCAAAAATTGGTCCTTAGTGTCATCAATACCTGTGAGTGTAGCATTAAACGATTAAAAGATTGTAAATCTAACATTGAATAAGAGAGTACTTTTGTTTTGTATATTTTGTTCCGTGAAAAACGGGAGTAAAAGGGAACCAAAATGAGTGAAAAATTTTCACTGAGAACCCCTATTAGACGCCATTCAGTTACTATAGCGAAAGTAGCGATGAGCTTATAACGGAAAGAACACGTTGAAAATATAGCGATAGAATAATGTATTATGACTTTATTCATTATTATGAGTTGTATAAAGCGTATGATGTAGCAATTATGAAACTATTTAAATTTTTTATTATGAATATAATACCCCTTTCTTTAATTTTAGCCATAATTATAGAGAGAACACCTGCAACTTTGATAACGGATTTCAAGACATAACCTTAACATTGGTTTTGAATGGAATCGAAGTAAATATATGACATATACATATTGATTTTTTTCCAGAATCACATCTTACGAAAATAAAGTTGACGAGATAAACCTCATGTGATCATTTTTTTTTTGCAAATTTACTATACTACAATGTGACTAATTGAAATTAGTTATAGAAGTTTGAAAAATAATTAAAAGTCAAATGTAATTATTATTTAATGTATTTTTTTTATTCGCTACAAATGTTTTATTCAACTTTTAAGTCAATTATCATTTGTGCTTGTAAAGGTATAGTACCTTATACATTAAACATTTAATAGTATTCATAGGTATAAATAAGATTTCTATAATTTGTTGATTTTTTTTATGATGATTACAGATTAAGTAATAAACGAAAACATGGTTGAAGGAGTTCCATCGCAAATTGCTTCTTTGAATCCAAATATGCCTGTAGTCTTAGCTTTTGGCAATCCCTTGCTAGACGTTTATGTACATTTGAAAGACAAAGAATTTTTGAGCAAATATGGTCTTGCAGAGTACGGAGAAGTTGAACTACCTCACAAAAAGATTCAAGAGATATTAGCATACTTACCACCAGAGTTAGTAAATGTATTTGTTGATGATTATCATATTATAGATTATACAGATACATTTCTTATTTAATCTATATGTAACACAGTTCAGAGAAGAGGATTAGTGCTGGAGGATCAGCACAAAATTCAATGCGAATTTTGCAATGGCTGTTTAGTAACACCTTGAAGAATCAATGTAGTATATATTGCGGGGGTCTTGGAAAAGATCCTAGAGGAGCAATGTTGGATACTTTAGTTCGCTCAGCAGGTGTGGATGCCAGGTTTGCAAATGTCTAACATCTCTTATTCTATGTCTTATAACATGCACTTATCAGTTTATATTTCATATTTTAGATATGCATTACATTCATATTTACCTACTGGACGTTGTATAGCATTGATACATGAATCATATCGATGTGTAGTTGCAAATATAGGTGCTGCTGGTGTATATACATTAGATGATTTTAAGAAAAGCAATATACCATTAGATACCATAAAAATAATTTATATTGAAGGATTTTTTATAACACACAGTTTTCCTGTTGCTAAGGAACTTGTTAAGATAGCAGAAGAAAACAATATAATTTTAGCCTTTAGTCTCAGTGGATTATATATATTTAAGGTATCTGCAGATTCAAAATTTTCTATTATTTATATGTTAATGTAATTAATACAAGACTAATTTTATGTAGGATCATCAAGCAGCAATTTGTCAGATGGTTGGATATGCTAATATTGTGTTTGGTAATGCAAGGCAAATGAAAGCTTTGGCTCAATCGCTAAACATTGCATATGATGATGTGACTGACATTCCACTTTTATTGAATAGTATGAAAAGAATTACAGTTAATGCATCTAGTACAACAAATAGTGACTGGTTACATCAGGGTGGAATATTTGTTATGACTCAAGGGGACTCTGCTCCAGCAATTGGAGTCTGGGGAAAAGGAGAGTTTGTTCAAGTGAGTTAAAAATGATGACATAATACTTTATCATTAATAGTTAAATAACAATTGTATTAAATTTTTATTCAGGTGCATCCTATCAAGCCAAATGCCCCAGTTGTAGATACAACAGGTGCTGGAGATTCTTTGGTAGCTGGTTTTTTGGCAGGTGTTTTGGCACAGTGGAAACCACAACAATGTTTGGAATATGGTTGTAGAGTGGCTTCTTTTATGGTTACAAGACTTGGGGTTACATTACCAGCTAAAGTGCCAGCAGATTTAATATTGTATAATATAAACACGTGATGCAATACTTAACTAATTTTTATTCGGAATTTTAGGGAAGAAATCATTGTGATAAAGAGATGTAAGATCGTCTATCTGTATGTGTCTATATGTCGACTTATGCGCTCAATTATGTGATTATTACAAAGAGAGATTTTAATTTATGCAATGTTATATAAATGTTAGATATATGATATTTATAAGTAATAATTAATGTATTTTTGTGACAAAGGTATATATATATATTTATTGAATCCATTAGTTAGTAGGTATTAATGATCAAGAATAAATCAGATGATGAAGGATATGTAAGAAATCTAAAAATTTTTTTTCAAAAATATTTTCAATATTTTAATAAGAAATCTTAATCTTCATTTTTCCATGTACATAAATATAATTTTGTTGTATATGTTAACAGATTGACTTTTATTGTAAGAGATGTGTTTTGGAAATATGCTGTGATCATTGAATTGCTGGTCATTAATTTCAGAGGAATAGAAAAATGCCATGTCTATGTACAAATGAACATTTATTGTACAAATATATTTTTGTGAATAAAATTATTTTGGAAAGAATTTTTATTAAGGAAAAATAAATTGTAAATATTAATAAGAAAAGACATAATTTATTAAAAATTACATTACACTAAAATGACAAGTTTACTTATTTTCTAGGAGATTTTGACAAGAACATCGTGTAATTTGACGAATATCAGAAGTACCTCGTAAGCATGCTTTCAGTGAGGTAGTAAAGAAGAGGGGGAAAATAGTTTATTTTTTTATGCGTGTATAATAGACTTCATTGAAGCTTTGACAATTTAGAGCAATGTCTATGGTATGTATTCAAAAATTTATGTTAATCAAAATTTTTATATTAATACTGTTGCATGCATATCTATTGTTAAGATGAGTACTGAATTTCTGTTAAAAATGTCACTTGACATATTTTCTAACCTGGTTGTTTGAATAAAATGAGAAGAACGTAAATGTTTTATCGAATGAATTTGTAAAGTGTAAATTTTATTTCTTAATAATTACCAGTAGTTAACAGGAAATAAAATAATTACATAACATTATAAATAAAACTCCATAGATGATATATTATATGTTTCAAATGGTATTCAACATTTTTCTTTAAATTCATAGATAATAAAAAGATAAGTAATTTCCATATTGGTTGCATTGTTTATATTTGTTTAAATATATGTAAATGCTGTAACTAATTTGTGTGTCAGTTTGTATGAAATATGTATTTATTTGTTGAAATTCAGCGACCTGATGATCACAGACGAAAATGGAACAGAGAAGAATACGAGAGGATAGCTCTTCAGCGTCTCCAGGATGAGATTGCTGAAGAGGAACTTGGAATTCCAAAACAACCAGCTGTAAAAAGGGAGTTGTTGAAGCAGCGAGATTACAAAGTCGACCTTGAGTCTAAATTAGGAAAAAGTGTTGTTATTAACAAAAATACACCATCTTCTCAGACTGGAGGGTAAAAATAAGAAATTTATTTATAATTTAATAAGACCTTTTGGATGATAATAACATATATATATTTTATTTACAGGTACTATTGCAATGTCTGCGATTGTGTTGTGAAAGATTCAATTAATTTCCTAGATCACATCAATGGAACAAAACGTAAATAATTATATTCCTTACTCAAAAATTAATATCTACAGCTTAATATAACAATGCCAATTTACATTGTGACATTTTGTTAATGTTTCAGATCAACGTAATCTGGGTATGTCAATGAAAATTGAACGTTCTACATTGGAACAAGTTAAAGCTCGCTTTGCAATGAATAAAAAGAAGTTGGAAGAAAAAAAGAAAGATTATGATTTAGAACAGAGAGTAAAAGAATTGAAGGAAGAGGTCTATTTTCTTTTATCTGTTATTTTATAAATGTATTATTTAAGATTCAATGTTGAAGATACTATTTTTATTGTCCACAGGAGGAGAAGATTAAAGAGTACAGAAAAGAAAAGAGGAAAGACAAGAAAAGAAAAATTGAAGAAGTTAATGAAGACAATGGTGGGCCTTCCGATGAAATGGCGGCGATAATGGGTTTCTCGGGCTTTGGTTCCAAGAAGAAGTGATAATGAAGCATTACTGTCTCAATTACGATAAAACGCCTTCTGAAGACGCATCTTTAGAAAAAACAATGGTATCACCTGTTTCTTGAAAATTGTTTAATTCGTACGTTAATATTGAACAGTACGAGATCAGGGACGCATAAGACTGATCTTAGAATACACACTTCTAATCTTTAATATTGATATTTAAGTTCTCAATAGATTCCAACGGTTAGTTTATTCCTTTCTTCTGGTATCATCAGTGTCCCACGCATATAGATACTTTCCAGCTGTACGTAGCAATTGATTCGTTAAGCGCGATGAATGCATGTTGTTTTAGCGAGGAAAGGGTGACGATTCGTATTTGAAATTAAGCTTCGTTAAACGACTATTTACAGTTCTTCTGGACCAGCAACCTGACGACTATTACTTCAACATGTCCCGCGACTAAAATGATAAGATTTTATAAATAAAATATCGTTCTGTGATTCTGTAAAACGAAGTGTAATATTTATCCGACACAAACTCAACCTAAGAACACGACTCCAACGGATCGCATCAACCTTTCGAATTAGCTTTAAACGGTGAACAACGTTTCTTCCCAATGAATTAGCATTCGTATTCCACCGATTGTCAAACGATTTGTTATAATTTCGTTGAAAGGAAAGTGGCGTCGACACGGTTGTATTGCAATCGTTTTTTCAACTTTCTCTCTTGCGCGTCCACTTTCTTTCTCCTTCTTTCACCCGCGAGATAAAGAGAGTCGGAGTCCCGTGAGGAGTTCCATGGGTTTCGTACGTATACAGGGGGAGCGAAAGAGACGGGAAGACGGAGAGAGAGCGAGACACGAGCATGTACTCTCTCTTTCCGTCTTCCTTTAACCGCGGAGATTGAAACCAAGCCCGTACGCTCCTCCTACCTAAGGCTAAGCTCTGGGACCGTTTACCTGGTTCATCTTAGCATCGTAGTTCAGTGTAGTCGTCACTCGTGGCCACGGAGCGTCCACGAGTGCGGTCATGTATCCGAAGGTCAGCCGTTCGTGATCCAAGAATCGTAAGCCGCGCTCTTGGGGGTCGTTCCTCCGTGAACCAGTTTCCACGTGATTTCTGATCGGCCAGTGCACGTGCGTCCGCTGTGCGCGTTCCGTTGACGTTTCGTTCTTCCCGTCGAGTCCTCGGCAACTCGGAGAACTTTCGGAATTAGAATTCCTCGGAATCAGAGAATCCTCGAGTCGAGGCAAGATCAGGGAATTTTCAAATCAGAGAGAATCAGGGAATTCCGTGTGGGACTCTAGAAAATAAAAAGACGTCCGACGTTCTTTTTGGCACCTCTGTCGCCGGTCGTATTGTTAATTCAGTGCAGAATTCCAGAATACAACGATCGAAGGCACTGTCAGGAGCCGCCGGTATTTGCAAAGTCGCGAGATAATTTAAGTTCCATATTACCAGAAACATCGAGGAAGATGTGATCTATCGTGGCACGTTCTACGCCGAGAACTTAAGTGATTCAGGATTTGCGGGGAAGCTCGATGGACTTTTGCAGACCTGAACGCCTTTATGAGACACTTCGCGCGCGGCTGTTCTGCCGGACTGTTACTCGGTTGTGTGGGAAAACGACGATCCTGATCCAGCTATGCCGCGAACCCTTCAGCCCATCCAGGAATGCAATTCGGGAAAGTCGAGTAAGTTAATTTTCATCGTTTTCAATCGTTCCCTTCTTTCCAGATTTCTTTATATGTATAACAACTTTAACGCTAGCTTTACGGTCGAATCGCATATTGAATAAACATTGTTTAGCGGATGTTTGCGTCGATTTTAATTGATGCAATTGCAGGAATACGTATCCTAATCGTCTATTTTTAGACCCAAATGAACGGATATTCATTTCGCTAAAGACAAAAGAATAAGCTATACAATAAACGTCCGTAGCCTTAGCGTTGACGATGATCGCCGAACTTACTAATCGTTTAGTCTTTCCTTATGAATATACTTGCTACTGTATTGAGCAGAACTTCGATAAGAGTTCCGGGTTGTCAGGAATACCATAACACGATCCAGTTTTTCGATTGGTATTTCGAGCAATGCTCTCGTTAATTCGCGTACGCTCGCGATATCGACGGCAACGAACTGCCGCGCAAATAACCGGGTATCGTTCGTAATGATGATTTAAAACGGAATTATAGTTGCCGTCTGATAAAAATTCCTTCGAGAATGCAAGTTTTAATTTACCGTTTTTACCGTGCGTACGCGGATGATGATCACGCGTTCCTCGAGATTACGGTTTCTTGGTATGAAACGTCGCGCACTTTCCCTTTTCTTTTCCACGGAAGTGAAAATGATCGGGCTAGAGTGAATTCTGTTCATTATACGGCGTCTGCTCACCGTGCCCAGTTCCAACTCTTATTTTCAGGATTTCTGCTCACTCGTGCGTGATCGAGCGCCTGTGTTCGCCCAATGTCCCGGAACGCTGGGTAAATCGCGATACGTGCAGGCAGAATGAACTAATAAATGGTCAACGGACCCATACGCGGAACAAAAACATCCGAAAGTGATTCGAGTAATGAAATGATCGAGCGGAAATCAATCTCTTCCGTTCAGAATGTTAATAAATTGGCAATAATGTCGCAACGACATCTTAGAAATGAATTATTGGATTCATCATGGAAAGCGTATAATATTAAGATTGCGTCGCGCCACGAAATTACGGTATTATTAAGATTAGTTCTAGTGGCAATGGTACTCGGCGCCTCGGAGATATCAACGCCTGGGCATTAAGGCGGTGATTTCAACGCCTGGGCAAGTGTCGCCGCCGGCCACGCGCTCCGTATATAAGTACATAATTAATGTTGAGCGCGATCGTTCACTAGATCTACCGTGTAATTTTCCTGTCAAAAAAGAATTCCTCGGAACATTCGATTGTTGCGCTGTAAAAACATCGATTCTGCAGCAACTTGAACGTCCGAAGGCGGGAATCAAACGGTCATCTATGTTTCTTCCATCGAAATTTCTAACTTTCTCGACATCACCGAAAAACAACATTTTTCATAAATTTCTCGTTTGTCATTGTACTGCCCACTTCATTATCATAAATATCCTCCGAACTCCTATCCGAATTAATCCGTGTCCGAGCACGATTACCATCGGCATTTAAGGTCAGGTGAAATTTTTCCTTTCGCCTCCGCTCGTTTTTTCTTCGCAGTTCATTTAATCGTCGAACGGTTTTTTTATTAAAGTGGTATCTATCAAAAAGCGTTCTCGAGGCCCGCATCTAATCGCTGTCATTATTAATCTCATGAATGTTCCGCTTCGCGACGTGACTCGTTACTTTCTTCCGCGGACCCAGAAATCGTCGAAAGTCAGCGATTAGAAGGTCGTCATTCTTCTGGCTCGATGTTCCGACTAATTTTTTGGCACATGTTCGATCGCGTTGAACGCAGTGACACTTATTCAAATATTAGAATAAGTTTTCGCCGGACGTGCCACGTGATTTTTCCAACGAGAGTTTCTTTTCTGAAAGTCTTTCGATGTCCAGTCTTCAAGTGGTACACGGGCAGGAGTTTGATCTTCAGCTTTTCTCCGGTCGAAGTGTCCTCCACCGTTTGCAAGGTTGATCCTTTGCAAGCTGATTTAAAAGGAGAAACATGTTAAATTGATCTTCCTCGTTCAACGGCAGTCCAACGTCTACTTCTCACGAGACCGTGACGAACCGAGTAGCAGAAAATTTCGAAAAGTGTAGCTCGATGTTTCTAATTAGCTACTACATTAATTTTCTTAGCGTAGGCAGGAAGCTGGGAAATAAATCTCGAGTATTGGGCCTAAAAAAACTTTATTATCAAATAGAAAACGAGAATAACGATTATTCGCTTTAACAGAGCGGATCTGGGCGCAGCCGTCACGCCGCGGCCCGGCGGACGCACGACGCGATTTAATCACAGATCTAATTGAATTACACGCGGCCGACTTCGAATTACTATATTAATAACTTGCTTACATTGTATCCCAGCTGGCACGGCACGACGATCCGCGAGAAATCGGACATTGAAAGCTACAGTGACGCGCGCGATAGCTCAAAAATCGTCAAACGAAGATTTTCTCTGCAATCCTCGAATTGCTAGGGACATCCACTGATAAGCATGATTTAGCGGATTTCGCATTCATCAGGAACTCCTTGCTACAAGGATACACGACTATTAATCTTTTTCGGTCATTAGGTTTTGACGTTCAGAAATCTTCGATCGCTCGTTTCGAATCGTCACCTCGGCTTTCTCATTGAAAAATACGCGCGCGTCTACTGCAAACTTAATTTACGTCTAAAGTTGATGTATCGTAGACGATCAGCTTTTCACTTGAGGATTTCAAAATAAAATTATAATCTATTAATTTCATTTGTTCAAAAATAAATAGTATTTTAATCATTGTAATAAGAATTCGCCGGTATTACTTGTTCAATGGTAGTAACATTGTTACGCTCGCAGTTCTTAAGTTACTAAACGTTTCTATTCGCCGTCGCATCGAACAATTCGCCAAAGTGACCGACAGTTTTCGCTGTACACGTTCTCGCTGGTAGGGCAACGCGCATTTCCGCGAACCTCGAGCGCCCGGAAGACAAAGATCGGCGAAAGAACAACCGTTGCCTTAGCTAACCCGCTGTCACGCCGCGGCGCGTTACTTTTCGCTCGTTTCGCGGGGCATCATCACCGGCGTACCGCTACACGATGATTTACCAGACACCCTGACACGATTCGCCGGACACCTCCGCGCGTCCCGATGATACGCCGGTTTCGTCGTTTATCCATTTTTCTAGCGGTAAACACGGGCTATTCGAGCCGGCCATAGCGCACGTTGCCTAAAGCCCGCGACCGCCGCGCAATTCTCCGTTGAGATTATCGAGCGGAAAACTTCGACCTCTAACACCTGTTCCGGAGAGTCACGATTCTGCCTCGGGGCGAGTCTCGCTGCCGCGGATAGAATGAAAGGGCCGCGGAACGCCGGAACCGCAACAATGGAGGACGCGCGATCCTCGCTTGAAAAGACCCGGCTTTCGTTTTACGACCGGACACGAGAGTTAACGGTCTTTCGCGAAATGACCGCGGCTGCATCCTCGTCACCTTATGATGAAAAGCGTACCGTTGCGCGAGAGTTGGCACTGTGGTCTTATTGCTCGGTTCTCATCCTTTTCGATTCGCTATTCGCCGATGCGATTACGCGTAGCCAATCGAAACTATAAACGAGGCTCATAGATGGAAACTCCTCTTGCTCTTATGCTGTTCCGAGTGCCAACTCTGGTGCAACGAACGGTACTTCGTCGTTAGCTTCTATTTGGTTCAACTGAGCAGTTCAACTGCGGTGCATGTTATAAAGCAACAAAGTACGATGAACACCGAAACGACGATATTCGTCTTCGAAGGATTGAATCGGAGAAGACTACGATTTCGTAGCATCGTTGGTCATTGAATCCCTGCTCTCGCAACACACGGATGAAGACATCACGCTGATAAATTACTTTTCGCGAGCGAAGGATTTATGCTTGTTACGCGCGCGGCGAAAAAGGGAGAGCGCTCGCAGCGTCGTGCGAAATTTACGGGCACAACGTGGAAACAAAGATGAATATACATCGCGGTGATCTCGTAAACCGACGGAGATACCGGAGCGTTAACAGAACAATGGTGAATATAACGCCGAAGAGGGAAAAGTAAGCGGAATGGTCTCAGCGGCCGCTCCGTCGCAGATTCTCGTTGCAGATAGGCACAATTAAATAACCAGCCGCGCCGCGCGCGTGTAATTACGGGGGCATAATAGCGCGTGACGCCGAAACGGCGGATTGCGTCACGGGTTTTGATGGGAAAACCGTGCGAATGAAAATGTGGACGAGCCGCGAACGATGTGAAATCTTTTTCGTCATCCTGGTCACGAACGAGAGCTAGATCCATACGATCGACCTCCAGCCACCTCCACGTCGACGGGAATTGTTTCTCGTAAAACCAAAGCCAAGAAACGACATTTACCTTTTGCGGCCGATCGAGTGCACTCGTCGACGGAAGTGACCGATCACCGTCGAAAGTTCGAAGTCGCAGGCGTCGTTAGCGTAAGAAATTCCACTCGTCGGTGAAGTACGAAAGTGTTCGTCTTAGAAATCGATCGCGGTGCCCGCTCGAAGCTTCGTCCGAGGAACCATATGGTTCCTGGACAACCGAAGGATTCATTGTTGATCCAGTGCTAACAGTGATCCTAATATAACTTGTTACCCGAACTTAATTTATAAGGAGCACGTTTCTCTGCGGTCAGTCTCAAGGAGAAGGCTCGTCGATCACTTCCAGCCTGTGTCACGATCGAAATTACCGTAACGCGGCAATCAGCGGCGACCTACACCGAGGTATACTCGAAAATCATCCACAAAACTCACTCACAAGTTCCTACGAGACAAAAGTAGCCCAGAACCGAAGAATGCGTTCCGCTTGACCCGGAAAACGCCGCGCGAGGGTTCAATTCCGCGTTAGCTCCCCCGAATACTGACACGTCCAGGTCGTGTAGCCCCAGGTATTCGGCCGAGGTGTGGGTCAAGGTGTCTCTGATATGTTCGTCACGCTCTGATCGTGACATCCGGCTAGCCTGATCACACCCGGACCCCGAGACGCGACATGGTGGCCGAACTGTCGGGCATTCCCGCCGGCAACGCGGAGCGAAAAACAGCGACGGTGGGCCCCGCGAAGCTACGATCCGCCGCGAAGCCTAGGACCAGGCCCAAATGGATCCAGACAGCGACCCGCGAGCCGATCTACAGCGTTCTGGACAGTGACGAGGCAGCCGCGGTTAGTTTGCCAGCTGGTAGCAAACGGAACGTAGTGGTGATCAGCGCCGTGAAGAGTGACAAATCGCGGCTGAACGATCGGCCGTCGAACAGAGGGAGATCGGAGAAGTCGGCGAACGCGTCGGTCGACGCGGAAGATGAGGACCCGTTGTACAGCGTGGTGAGGAAGCCGAAGAGGGTCCAGTTGCCGGAAACGGGACCGACCAGCCGGAAGCTGCAGCCGATAGAGGAGCGGTCTACGGAGGAGAAGGAGATTCAGCGGGAGATCCGATCCCGGCAAGAAGAGCTGAAGAGGTGGCTGCAGGTGGCGTCGAAGCAGCTTCCGGAACCGAGGCGTCTATTCGACCTGGGCGAGATGTACTCGAGTCACTTCGCCGAGGCTGATCAGCCGCAAGCCGATTGGAAGAGGCCTGTCTCCGTGCCCCGCGGCGTCGTCGGCCTGGTGGGTCCTTATCGCGTCTACCAGAACCCGAACGAGAGGAGGGAGTACATGCTGCAGGAAGAGGAGCTGGTCGAGGAAGTGGTCGACTCCGTCAGCGAGGTCGCGGCGCGCGAAAATCATCTCGGCGAGCAACATCGTCGAGCCAAGTGGCGGATAAGGGAGGACGACGAGGACACTCTGGTGCCCGACATCAGGGACATCCCCGGCCTCGAGGAGTTCACCGTGGAGACGGAGAAAGAGCAGTCCGAGTGGAAGAAGATCGACGATCAGGCTACCGTCGAGTATGGCCACAGCGACGCTGCGTCCAAGCTGAAGGACGACCTTCAGGGTAGCGGCGTCCTGTCGGGGAACGAAGAGCGGGCCGTGGATGTTCCCGACGAGGTTTCCACTGTTTCCACGAGATCGCTGAAGGAGAAGGGTGAGAGTCTTGTTTGGGGATTTATATTGCTTGTAGAGGTCACGCTGTTTGTGTCTTGGATTCTCGGCTGGACTCGCGCTGTTGAAGACGTTTGCGGTTTAGAGGTTTGATTTATAGAGGCATCGTGGTGTGGAAGATTTATGGGTTTCGTGGAATTTGTAGAATTTCCGGAGTTCGTGGAATCGACGGAGTTAACCTTTGTACGGTTCAGGTTAGATGAGTATCTTCGGCGAATTGGAGGAGTTATGATAACGATGCTGAGCAGAAGGAAACTGAATTGCGCGATAACACGTTGGGGCATGACGGAGCCAAACGGTATAGGATTTCACGGACGGCATGGTTTCGTTTATTAACGATCCACGGGTATTTGTATGCGAGATGTTCGCCGCTCGGCGTACGGTATCGTCAGACGAAAAGGATCAGCTAGCGGTAGATAGAACGTGGCTCATGTGCTCGCTTTGAAGCCACCGTACGTGCGAGGTGTATTTATCAGTCGGATGACCAATATTTCTACATTGTCTGCCTCGAAAGTGTACCACTGTCTAATTCCTCTCATTAGGTTAACGGTGTCGCAGGTGTTCGACGTCGAGTTCGGTTTTTATTTATAGTTCAGCTGTCGAACGTTCCAGATTTTCAAAGTTTCGTAGATACCTTCTTCATTTTTATCTTAAAATATCACGTATTCGTATTGTCGTATGTCTCGGAGTTTTAAAGAGAATTTAACGTCTGTCTGATCTTTTTAGTAATATAGTACCGAATTCTTGGTACTTTTGTTAGAAAGAAACTCTGGAATATTTGAGAATACAGATTTCGTTAATCACAAAAATATTAAGGAAAGTCAAATAAGAAGAAATGCGAGACATCAGGTCATTCGAAGGATGAAAGATCCAGAATACACGTCGAACGAAGTATGCGCCTCCGGGAATTTCAGCAATCTTTGATCGCAATTTACAACGATTCAGTAGTCGCCGAGAAACGGCCTGTTCCTCGACTTACCATCAAACGGCTCTCATGGATCTCACAATTCTATTACTTTTTACCGCGGCCGCTGTAATGAATAGTCAGCTGCCTCGACTTTCGCTGTTTTTGTTGCCTCTCTTACCTGCTGACTGAACGTACACAATCATCGTCGTAAATTCTAGCTACCAGACCCGGCGTATTCCTACGGGGAAAAACGTCTATCGACGACTTTCCGCTAATCAATTTATCGGCCCGACGTCTCGTCTTCCGGTAACGTCGAGCCGTCACTTCGGATGGAAATGTTTCTACGCGACGACTGGCAGCAGAATCTTCCTGATCTTCTCGAGTCGTCAGCTGATAAAATCGTACTATCCTAATCGCCCGATTCCTCGTCCAGTTCACACTTTCTTCATTACGAAAGTATTCCTGCCCAGCGCCGAGTTAAATCGCACCGAACGTCCTTATCGAACCTTCGCAAACCTTCCAACCAAGACTCTACAATCTGTAATCCGCGAACTTTCCATAGACAAAATCTCGCGATTTGCTTAGAAACTTTCTTCCCCTTTGTACCCGCGACAAAAGACGTCCCGCGTACGAATCCCGCCAGCCGATTTCTATCGGTATTCCGAAAAAAGACTCCCGTAGAAATTCAGGTCGCGCCAGGATGATCATGCGTGACAAACAAGAATCTCTTGGTCGTAAAACGACGTCGCTTAACGGCTGAAACCTGAACACCGCGCGCGTCGTCTTCCGCGGAAAAGAAAGTGGAGAAAAGTCCTTTGAGCGATATATGATCGCGTTTTGCGCGCGGTATGAACCCTTTACTTTCGCGTTTCACTTCGCGCGTCACGTCCCCGCGATATTATTCATCCGCGATCTTTAATCGTCCCGTCTGGCACATGGTGCCGGGTATCGCGAGCACCTGACAGCTTCGCTGCTGCTATCCGATGCTCTTCCTAGCGTCATTGCCCGCTAGATTTCTATCCTCTACTCGCTTCTACGCGGATCGCTGTCCTGCAATTGCAACCGTCGTATCGGTACAGTTATCCACTTTGCTGCAGCGTGCTCCGATTTCGAGCACCTCCTCTTGGTAATCGCGAGCGACTATTGCGAGCCGGTTTAAACGCGGTTGCTTAACACACGTGGAAACTGACAGGATCCTGGGAATTCTCGCATTAAGACATTTCCGACGACTTGCTGCTCGATGGGTATTAGCACGTTAAGCGCCACGAAAATCTTAAGTGTTTTTCCATAGAATTTGTCTTTTGTAGATGTAAACATTTTTATTTCACATCGGTTGTCTTGTGTGTTACGATTGTTTTTTAGTCATTCAGAAGTGTCGGTCACCAGTGACTGACACGGCGCTTAACGTGTTAAATTAAATTAACAATCGAATGTGCGGGTATATGTATGTAATTACAGAGGTGTACAGGTACATAGGGACGAAAGGATTTTCGGGAAATTTAGGCGGAAATAGTAAGTTTCCTGAGAATGTTAGAGAGTCTTGGATTGCTCGAGAGTTTCTTATCTTTTCTGAACGATTGCTACAGAATGCTACAGAATTATTGCGCGAAGAAAGAGGAAGTAATGACGCAACGAAGGAGACAGTTTGCTTAACTAATCGCGCACCTTTTACTCGAGCGAACCTAACAATCTTACAATTAGAGTCATTAAGCGTCCCGCTTAAAGATAATTGCGCGCATAACTCGTGCCGCAGGGAAATAGATAATGTAATTGTGAAAGCAGGTAACCATTACATTTAATAAGTTCACTTCCTGGTTACGTAGAAATTCGTGAGGTGTATTCCACATTCATATTATGATTGCGAGTCATTAACTGCGCGTGAACTGATGAGATATCGTACGTAACAGCGACTCGTTAACAACGCTTCCGCGAGATAGCGAACAAATGTCAGATGATTTAACACGACCCGTCAAATATCTGGCGTTTAATTACACGTCGTCCGACAATTAGCGAGTGTAGAACGCGAAACATCTGCGGCATTTAACGCGCTGTATCTTATTTTTCGTCTTACCCTCGGGTTATGCCCCCGAGGTCTGTTCAACGAATTCCAGCCGCAGTGATTAAATACTAACATCTCGCTTATCGTGTCCCGGGAACGGTAAATTCTGGCCATTCTTATTATACCCGCGAAGCTGGTTATTACTCGTACCTTTCGAATTAAAAGAAATTACTCAACCGTTTCCAATGAAATTATTTGTTTACCGTCTGCACCGAGTGTTCCCTCTAAAAGGACATTTTACATACAGTATTGATTCACTTTTATATCGATAATTTTAATATCAATCAAATTTTGTTGATGCCAGTCACATTATTTTTTAACACAATTTATCGTCATTGTCTTTTTTAGTCCTATTTGTTTTCAATGATTACGATAGTTTACGAGTACCGCAGTGTTCCGTTCTGGGGTGAAGATCGAATCGAAACAGACAGGTCACGAGCTGGAAAAACGCGGGGCACGTGAAAGCAAACGAGGGAATAAGGTGAAAGGTGGCCGCGAAGGAAAAGGAACGTTGTGTACTGTGGAAAAGGGTAATTTTTCGCTCCGATGTCGCCGTGGGAACACGAAGAGACGCGACAAATCGCCGTGTGTCGCGTGAAAGCAGATCCGCGAGGAGCGGGGAACCCGCGGACCGAGTCGTTGTTTTGCTTATTCGAAACTTTCATGAATTTTTGCCTTTGACGCGAACGAGGATGGGGAACAGCGGCGACTTTCGTATTCCGAGGAAACCGGTCGACCGCTGAAAACGAATTTCGGGCAGGATTTCACGCGTCACTCGCTCCACCTTTCGTTGAAATCACCGGCGCGCCGCCAAGATGGCGCCTACGGTCGCAGAGCAGTCGGCGAATTTCCCTGGAACTCTTAGCCAAAATTCGAAGTACGAATAATTCATTTATGAATTATTCGCGTGTAATTTATCGTTCGCTGTATCTTCTTTGAATAATTATTTATTCATTCAAAGTTGGCAACCAGAAATTTAAGAAGCTACTCCGAGATTTATGTTCGAATTATTGGATATCTACAGTAAAGTATTTAGTACTTTCAATAGTTACTGTCACTCGATCAGAATGTTGAGTTGAAAATTCGATGTTAAATGACATTCTTAATTGTCTGGATCTATCCCACGATAAAGCATGTCAATAGTTTACCCTGGGTTTCAGGGAAATCAACCGAAGTCGCTAACTTCGAAGAGCCTTTTCGTTTTATGCCGTTCTATCGTGACTTCCGCTCTCCCGTTTACTGCATTTCATTTTCCTTCGAAGCGCGAGATATCTTAATCAGTGGAATTATGAAATTAGACGGCCGCTCGTCACTCTTCTGCGGCTGGCAACGAAGCCGTTCAATTTTATGCACCGTAAAACGAGCCGATTAGTTTCGCATGGGTGAACCGCGAAGGAGAAAAAAAATGAACGTTCGTATGCAGCGGCGCGGAGGCGCTTATCACGGCTATCCTCACGGGAAACACGTAATTCAGTGAGATAATATCTTGCTGAAGAAGCCGACGAAACGTTTCGCGGAACCACCGTCGTACCGACGACCGAAGAACTCGCGGGATCTGTTGGTTTTATCGGTGATCCATCGGGGGATGGCAACTCGTGAACGGTCTCGGCCGATTTATGGACTTCCCGAGCCGGTTAAATGTTTCTCGGCGAATTGTCGTGGGCGTTTCACGACAATCTTCGTGTTGTCTTAATTAACGGGTTCGATAGAAACGCGCGTGAGGATGTGACGATCAAGATAACGAAAGGTCATACATTATGCGTGAAGAATAGCTTTAGTGGCTTGACGCACAATTGTGCTGCGAGGCACAAAATTGCAAAAATAATTGCTACGATAAATCTTGACCTGTACATTAAATGCTTTCTCTTTCGAATGAACATTTTTTTACTGTTCAATTAAATCGAGACGTTTTCATTCGCCAGGAGGGTCGTAATTTAGTAGAATAAATATAAATAACAAATACATTCGCAGATTACAGATTTCCCTTTCTACGATTGCCGAAAATCAGTTTCTTCGG